GGGGGGGGGGGGGGGGTCTGCTCTGCACCTACCTCAGGGTCGTCGATCTCCTCTAGTCTGTGGTGCAGCAGCTGAGCCGCGTGCAGCTTATTCTCAAACGCACCTTTCACACGCGCAAACACACACACACACACACACACAGGGAGGGGCACATAGACAGGGAGGGAGGGAGGGGCGTGCAGAGACTAGACTAGACGTACCCGTGATATTGACGGGCCGCTCTTCGCACCCGTTGGGCACCTCCTTCTGCACGTGGATCTGGCAGCCCGACTGGCGCACCATGCCGTCAATCTGAGTGAGATGATGAATGAAGACACACACATCCCATCCGCCCCCACGCCCATCCTAGCTATCGGGTCACTCACTCACTCCTCACCCTTTGCCCCTGTCTGCCGATGAGCTCCTTCACTGTGCTGGCAGGGATCACCATCCGACACACACTACCCTGTCCAACACACCACAGCCACAGATTTACACACGTGCAGTGCAGTGCACAGGATTGTGATCTACCTCTGCCCTGGTCTCCAGCTGCGTGATGAGGATCCGCAGGGCATTGCGCTTCGACATGATCGACCCTACACACGCCCAGTACACCACCCAACACACCAACACGTGAGCCGACCAGCCATCCCCCAAGTCCACAGCCCACGTAAGGGCATCCGCTGGCTGTACTGCACCTTGAATGATGATCAGGCGCTCCTGCCCGGCAAGCAGTGGGTGGTGCCCGGCGGTGTCGTTGTCGATGTACACCGTGGCGCCCGTCTTGCTCTGCAGCTCCTTGACGTGCACGCCGCCCCTGCCAACTATCCAACCAGCTAAGGTAGGTACACAACACACAACAGAGATCCATGGATTCCCCCGCCCTCTGTCTTTGTCTCTTTCCTCTCTCTCTCTCCATCCACACCACACACTGCAGTGTGTGTGTTGGTACGCACCTAGTTGTGTGGTGGTGATGAGCTTGAGCGTCACCTTCGACGGCGCATCGGACGAGCCACCACTACCCCCACCGCCCCCACCCCCCGCCCCGACGCTGCTAGTTGCCCCCATATCGCTGCCCCCCGGCCTACCATATGCCGTGGTCGACGTGCCCGCATACAGTGTGCCTGCTGGTGATGAGCTGTGGTTGCTGTTGGCAGGGCTGCGGTCGTACGATGGCGACTGCCGAGCGTGGCTGCCGTTGTTGTTGTTGCGCCGCTGTGGCTGCTGCTGTGGCTGCTGCTGCTGCTGGGAAGAGGGCAGCTGAAAGTCGCCCGCTGCATAGCCACAGATGGGGAGAGCAATAACCATACAAAGGATATGTATGTGTATATGGTATGGGTGTTGTGTTGGGGGGGTGTTCAGCTGGCGCATTCCGTTGCGTACGTCCGAGTTTGCCGTTGTTGACCATGTCGGCGATGATTTCGTTGATGGAGCTGATGGCGTTCATGATGGCGTTGACGGACCCGCTGAGGGTCACCGGCCGCTCGATCATGCCGCTGATCGAGTCCTTGCTGATGTGAATCTCGCACTCGGTGCTCTTGCTGCACCAACAACACCCACACACACACACACACAAACACACACACACATCAACACACACAGATGGTTGGATGGATGGATGTGGGCGCATCTCCCTTTCTCTGGGCGCATAAGACGTACCATAGCTCGTTGATGGTGTTCCCCCTCTGGCCGATGATGGCGGGGGCGCTTTTGTCGGGTATGATGATGACGAACACGCCCCTCTCCTGCATCGTCTGCTTGTTGATCTGACGCAGCCGACGCAGCAACGCACCAACAGCAGACTCCTTCGCGTGAGGCGTCCTGCAGAAAACCACACACACACACACACACACACACACATCCATCCATCCATCCACAAGCACTCGTGTGAGTGTGTGTGTGTGCGCCCCCGCCCACCGACCCGTTGATGGTGACGATTTTGTCTGAGAGGTCGGGCGGCGCCTCGGCGTCCCGCGACACATCGATGGACGCGCCCGAATCGTCCGTGATCTGACGAATGTGCTGACCCGACTTGCCCACTATGTAGCCTGGTCACACACAAACCATCCAAGCAACACACAACAGCCGTGTCAGTGGATCTCTCTCTCTCACACAGAAAGAGAGAGAAGGAGAGAGAGAGAGGCGCGTGTGCTTACCGACAGAGTCCGGAGGCAGGAGGCATCTGGATGGTGGACCGCGCTGGAAGAAGGCGTTGCTGTTGCTGCTGTTGGTGTTGGTGCCATTGTGGCTGTGTGTGTTGGCGGAGTGGCGCTTGGCGAAGGGTCCTCCTCCTCCTCCCTGCTGGTTGTGGCTGAGGTCACCGCCATTGTGGTCCATCTGGTGGTAGGGCCGCTTCCGATCGGGACAACTAGTCACACCACACTCGTCTACCTGCATCAAGCAGCCATCAGATCCCCCTCTCTACGCCCTGTGACAAGTCTATGCCGTCGGATCGCATTCGGCGTCACGGTGACGAGTAGTTTGAGGCCCATGCATCTCGTGATTTCGGGTCCCCGTGTACCGGAATTTGTAAATATCGCGGCGGTCCTCCTTTCCCATGGTTGCCTGACTGCCGCTGTACAGCCACAAACCACGCCCCGCAAGTCGATCGCATCACTACTCTGATGCACAGCGGGTGCCAATGAAAGCGTTTGCAAACAGGTGGGTGACTCCACGGGGGGGTATATAGATCTGTTTGCATACCACCATACACACCACGCCTAGCCTGACCTCTTCTGTGTGCTCCCGTCGTCAGATAGATGTGGCACACATCAACCCCAGATCTGCCGCCTCGCTTCCCCTTTGATCGGTCGCCTCTTTTCGGCGGCCCGTGACGATGAACAGTGTTTCGGCAGCAGCAGCAGCAGCGGCCTGCAAGGCCTTTGCAGTGAGAGGTGTTGGCCATCCATCGCTGCCACCCGTCAAGCCATGTGTGGAGCCGACGGGCGACAGCAATGGTGGTGATGTGAACGGCGAGGTGGTGCTGGACCTAGCGGCCAATCATGATAATGGTGCTGCGTCGGCGGCGGCAGCGGCGGCAGCGGCGGCATCTGCTGCGGCTGACGAGCATCATATAGATGGGGATGGGTGCAGCATGGTAGCAGAGGAGCCCCGCACCCCGTCGCCCGTCAAGCGCAAGTGGGTGGCGGGGCGCCACGTGGGTGGGAGAGAGAGGGAGAGGGAGGGGGAGAGCCTGAAGAGGGAGGAAGGTTTGAGCGCCTCGCCGGGCGGGCAGTCGTTGTTGTCGGGTTTGTCGTCCACATTCCGCCTCACACCGTCAACATCTAATGCATCGCCACTGTGGGGCCTCGCCGGTCGGTCGGTTGGTCAGCCAGCCCATAAACGAGGGGATGGATGGATGGATTCACACGTGTGTGTGTGTGTGTGTGTGTATGTGCAGGGTTGAAGAACACTAGTTTGGTCGGGGCGGAGACCATGTCGGACGCTAAGAGCATCAAGAAGAAGGTGAGCGGGCGGGCGAAGGGTGGGGCACACGAACCGTCCTGATGCACCTCTGTCTGTCTGTCTGTCTGTGTCTGGCAGCTGGAGGAGACCCATCGCATGTTAGCCGTGCTGCGCCGCACCGTCGGAGGTTCTGTGCCAGGCCAGCAGCTCCAGCAGCTCCACCAGCAGCAGCAGCAGTACCACCCCTCACCCACACGCCCCCGCCGCAGCCACCCCCTCTGTGCCAGCATGTCGTCGATAGCCTCGTCCCTCTCCGAGTTCGACATATCCGACTCCGAGAACGAGATTGAGGACGCCCCGCCCCTCTCACACCGTGACAACCGCGACCTAGTCTGCGGGCTGCCGGAGCCGCCGAGCCCCAAACCCATCCACGCGCCACACCTGACGGTGCCGCCCCTGCCGCTCCCTCCAGAGTTCCCATCGTCACCGCCGCACACACCATTGGGGAAGGGAAAGATCAGGGGGGCCATTGGTGGTAATGGTGGTCGTGTGAAGGCCAAAAGGGTGGTGGGGGTGGTTGCGTCAACGAGGCTGGAGAGCGTGCCGGAGAGTCCTGAGCTGCGGATGATGAGCATGACGGATGGGGGCGAGGGGGAGGGGGAGGGAGAGGGGGGTGTGGAGCCGCGTGTGCGGGATGGGAGTAGCCAGACGGGCGATGAGCTAGCTGCCGATGGGGTAGCCGAGATTATTGCCCCCAACAAGCTCCCGCCACTACCATTGGCGGACAAACAGCACCAGACACAGACAGTAGAGGTGAGATGGACCGAACGCGGCGCACGGGGCTTCATGCCATAGAGACAGACGGGCACATGATCGATGTCAGGTCTCTCTCTCTCTCTCCCTCCCTCTCTCTATGGGTGTGGTGTGTGTATCTGTCTGTCTGTCTGTCTGTCAGTCCTATCAGTCGTTGCAGTACCACCTGGCATATGCGTTGAATCAGGTGTACGTCCTCTCCCACGCGCTGGACGAGGCAACCGAGATTCTCAACGACGTCAGAGCCACACAGCAGCAGGGGGCAGCCGGGGGTGGTGGGGGGGGTGTGCAGCTTCCACACCACATACCAGTCAACATCCCCATCGCCACAGCGTACCCACAGTGGGCCCCCACCAGCCTCGCCAACTCTCTCCTGACGCCCCAGTCTATCGCACAGATTGACCACTCCACACACAGGTGAGGAAGGAGTATAGTGCAGTGCATGTGTGTGGGTGTGGGTGCGTCTGCTCTGCACTGCTCGGCTGGCTGCGTGTGTGCAGGTGGTCCACTCTGCTAGCGGGTGCCCGCAGCTATCTGCGCGAGTTCTCACCGGCCCCCGAACAACACACCAACACACAAGAGGCCGGGGGCAGGGGCGATGGTGAGTCGGATGCGGCCGTAGTCGTGGCCACGAGACCAGCAGGGGGCCAGCAGAGTGAGGGCGGCGCCACGTCGCCCCCACTCGCGAGTCTGGTATAGCGAAGTAGCAAGCTGATGGATGGATGGATGGATGGGGGGGGGAGACTCCGTGTGCGCGTGCAGTGGTGGCATGGTGTGAGCGCGTGTGTGTTGTGTGTGGTGGCATTTTCCCCCTCTCTCTTGGTGTGTGTTGGTGTGCGAGCGATGTGAGCGAGAAGGAGAGCGAGCTGCATCCATCGATCATGCATTCATTCGGTATACACGTACACAAATGTGTCTGTCTGTCTGTCTTTCTGTCGTTCGGTAGCCTAGCCTACATACGAAGGGAAGCTGCATGGACTTACTTCACTGCCATCAGTCAATCAGTCAGTCGATCATCGACAGTCCTCTCACTGCACACACAACAGACAGTCATCACAAATACACATACACTCGATCACACAGCCGAGAGAGAGAGAGAGAGAGCGCAAAAATGTCAAGACAGACGCCCGTCCCGTCCCGTCCCGTCTGCACGGCGGCTCTCCGCCAACCAGCCCGCCCGCCACCCACCACGTCATGGACGCCACGCACCACACCGCACCGCACTCAGCGATAGACATTGAGAGATCACTCACTTACAAGGAAGAGGCGAAAAATCTCTTTCTCTCCTTAGCTCGTCCTCTCCTCCCTCCCTCCCTCCCTGGCTGGCTGCCCATCAAAAGGCCTCTATACACACCGACTGACTGCGTTTGGCAGACACACCCCCACCCACCTCTCCC